TAATTTCTTCAATGGACAGCTTTGTCCTATGACTGAGTTCCGGATCCGCAGTTAATTCTTTTTTAACTGCTTCTAAGGCCATATTAACTGGTATATTAATATAAAGACTAGTTATATCAAAACTAACCATTGTTTCGTCATTTAGTTTTTTTTTCATATGAATTAGTTAATCTGGAGTTTGAGCGATTTCTAATGGGGCATAATATTAGAGCTAAGTGTTTTGATAATTCATAAGTAGGGGTATTTCTAAAATCTACTATTGGTCGTATGGGGTAACCTGGCTTATGCATTTTAATAGTACCATACATTCTACTAGCATTATTAGTTTTAGGCATTAAATTAAACCATTTAGACTCACCCAGTGATGGCTTCATTCTGCGTATTAGTTCCGCTATAGATTTCTTAACCTTATTCATCATTGTGTTTACAGGCTTCTTAATTTCCTCATATGGACCCGTTTGAATATGTTCAGTAACTTTTTTGATGTAGTCAGATTTATCCAAAACTACGGTGGCGTTTCCTTTGTCAGCTTTTGTGATGACAATATTTTTATCCTGTTTAAGACTAATTAAAGCTTCCCTTTCCGATTTTGTTAAATTTAATTTTGTTTTCTTTTGATTTTTTAGGGTTAATGCACATTGTGCTCGAACCTCTTCTGCTGTAGTCTTATCTATTGAGCTTAGTGTTACTTCTATGTTAGGAATGACATCCTCTGGTTTTAATTTATTAACTGTTACGTTGAAATTTAGTCCTTTCTCAAGTACTTTTATCTCACTAGAGCTGAGTTCCCTTGATGAGAGGTTGATCACCCACTTTGTTCTGTCAATAGAGGATGAAGCATTGATATCAATTTCATTTGTTGTGTTCTTTTCTTCTATTAGTTTGTTGAATTTTTTGATTTGTGTGGTTTTTGATTTTCTTAAGGCTGATTCTCTAGCTTTTTCGGATGTTTCAACAACGATTGCATAATCTTTGTCATTGACCATACATTTGAGTTTCTGTTTGAGTTTTTCAATTTGATTTCGTATATTATTTAGTTTCACAGTAATTATTCTCTTAGACATAATTTACTGACATGTTCTGCGGCTGATGTTATTTTGTTCGAAGTAATTGGAGTACGTAGACGTAAATATTTCTGAATTATACGGCTTTCTAAACATCGACTGTTAAAAATCCGATGATTTGTAAATCTTGCTTCAGTTTGACTAAGTCGTGTGAGTTTGTTGATAAGCTTCCTAGTAGGAAGACCATATGTATCATTGATATAAGAATAAAACTTGTGCACTGTGGTAGAGTGTAATTCCATTATGGACATTATTATGGACAAAAAAATATTATTTACAAAATACCCTGCAATGACTGTGAGTTAGGTCAACTACATAGGTCAAACTAGTAGGTCAGGGGTAGTCAGATTGTCAGAGCATAAGAGTTTAGCTAAGGTAAGAATGGCTGACCCTACCCGAGAAGATAAGTAATTTAGAAAAAAGCTCAGCAATTGCAATGCATGCGCTAACACACAACCACACAATAGCATGGTGGGAGAGGGTTAAAATTCTAAAACGTAATCTAGATAGGTGGAGAAAGAGAGAGGTTGATTACTGAATCCTTGTTCATCGAGTCTACACCCACCACATGCAATAGGAATGACTCATCACTCATACCTGAAATATGGAAAATACTATTACCAATCAAATCAAGTGAAAATCAAGAGAAAAACATTGGAACTATATAAATGAATTTAGGAAGTCGTGTGATTACCTTGATATGATTATGATTGGCAATAAATTGTGCTCGAAACGTCATCAGTAAACATTGCTGTGTAACACTGTGAGACTTCATCAAAATAAAATTTCAGCATAATGGAAATACACTCCACCACAGTACACAAGTTTTATTCTTATATCATTGCTAGCTTCATGCCCAAGCTTTCCTCTCTACCAGCATTATTTCTGGCGTAGCGAGGAAAAGGAGTGAGTCGGCTGGGGATCGAACCCCGGACCATGTGCATGGTCGGTGAGTGTCCTTACCGCTGTGCCACCGACGCACACTTTACTGATCATACCTGACCAATATTCCCAGTCTCTTTTGACACATCCGCTGCTAATACAGAAACATCGATGATGCTTTCAGATGAACATGATGTTTGTTGGTGGATACTGGTTAATGACTGACTGCCTGACTGACTAATTGGTTTCAACATACAACTTAGCACAGATGTGCACAAATTCAACTTGTCACTACTCTCCATGTATCACACAAACCAAGAGAAGAGAATAAAGATAGATCTCACAGAAGAGATAATAAACAGAAGTCTGACTGAGAGAAAAAGAATAATAATATGCAAGAAGAACAAGAGAGTTTTATTGGAGAGTATTCCAATTCTCCTGTGGTTGTTCGCTTGCCTAAAACGTCCAAAAATGGGATTTTATTCTCTGATTCCTCTTCTCTTGAGAATTAGAAACTCAATTTTATAGGAGAGCAACTCACACAGACCAAATACTCAATCACAACAGCAACAATCCAATAACTGGCAAGCGGAATTGTATGCAAACACTATTAAAGAGGGCTAGGACTCATTGCAGCACTCCCACCTTAAGTAAAATCGAGGAAAGATATCTCATGGACGTCTTCCAAAAGAATGGATATCCACAGAATTTCGTCAAAAGACATATACCCCCAAGCCAACCTATCAAACCAAAAGAACCCAAGGAAAGCACAAAGAAAATCGCCCTACCATATACAAAGGATATCTCAGAAATCACTAGAAGACTCTTCAAACTTTTAGGAATTGACTTCGCACTCAAACCAACAAAGTCGCTTCACTCAATTCTATGTCAACCAAAAGACTCAACAGCGAAAGAAGATAAAACCAACATCATCTACAAAATAAATTGCAGCAACTGCGAAAAACACTACATTGGCCAAAGTGGACGTCCCCTTCGTCTTCGTATCCACGAATATAAGCTAGCCGTCAAAAGACATGATATCCACTTCCTCATATCAATACACACAGACAACCACGGACATCAATTTGACTCGGACAACCAGCGTTCAAATATTAGACAGAGGAAAGAACAAGAATGCTAGAGAATTTTTAGAAGCCTGACCTGGTATTCCAGTGAATCGTCAATCAGTAGACATATCGAGATAGACAAAATTTATCAACCGATAAGAAGGAAACCTCACACACAAAGGGTCAAAGTTCAAGTCAAAGAAACTATCAGTTCCAATACAAGCAACCCAGAAGGTGTGAAAACACACAAAAACAACCAATCACGTCCAAGGTCTCCTGGAGAGATGATTAATAAACTCGTGGAGAAATCTAAAAGCTCACTTCAAAAAATTGAAGAATGCGCTGAATGTGTTGCCTAATAGAGCGATGAAAGCTTCGCAAATTAACTACCCAGCTCAGAGAACACAATCACATCAAAATATTACAAATTATCACAATCGTCTCCAGCATTCATTGTATCTTACGATCCCGAGGATCCTGATCAGCTGATTTACACCTCCATACTTGGCTGGTCGGCTGGCGTAGACTGACACTTATGGATTTCACTGATTGATTAAGCCATATTTTCTTTTGACCACCCTCGCTAACTATTCCCCAACCTCATCGATCCTATGCCGGCCAAGATTCCCCATCGAAGAAGGCGATCAATAGCTAGGGATGCGAAACACAATTCCTAACCCTCTCAATCGATTCAACTTCATAACCTCGCTAACTGATTTTCCCCTCCCTTGTGATCTACCACTCAACAGTAGTCTAACCTCAGTATTATTCACCTTATTACACCATCTAAAACTGGAGATAGAACGCAGGCACCTGTGATCAAAGATATTGCCTAATAAGGGAATCCAGCAATGTGCTATTTGGAACTCATCCTTTGAATATACCTACATCCGTAGTGAGTAAGATGGTGTTTCTACTGCAACTCGAACCCGGTACCTATTGTTTCAAGCTCCAAATCAGTCTGCATGAAGCTAGATCCAGATGACAAGTCACAGAAAGGATGAGATGTGCATTCTGGATTTCACTACCAACCAGTATCAACCAATCAGCATTATATAAGCCTGTTTGAAAAGCATTGAGAACCAATAAATATAAGGTCAACTGCTTCCTATCGATGATGTGTTCAACTAATTGACATCAGATAACCTACTTATCCAGTCCTGAATAAATTATAGTTGAACTCATATATGATAATCAACTTTTCATGACGAGGTCATTATAGTTGATAAGTTTAATCACTGTTAATTAACATTTGAACTAAATAATCGATAATAATCATACTAAACATCAGAAATATACATGTAGGCATAAATACAGGTGTTGGCTAACGAGAAACTCTAAGCAATACATATAACACAATGAAATACTGGAAATGCAGTGACCAAACAAAACACTAAGCGTCGGCCTGCTTAAAACTTGCTCGGGTTATCGAAAAAACCTCCATCAATATATTGTATATAATTTCTCTTATTCACTTTGTTTAAATCTTTTAAAGTATAACCTCTAATAGCATTGTCTACTCTGGAGAGTATTTAAAATTTTTACCGCCTGTTAATTCGCAAGTTTTTACTAAACATCAGATGAAAAAGCATTATCCTCGAAGGCAGCTTACTCATCCCAATTCATGAGATAACCCTTCTTGAATGATGTGATTGGTTCATAAAAGTGAACTCCTGAACATTTTACAATTGACATTCAATAAACGAAATATTCCCATACTGAGTCATAAGAAAAAAGGCGTGAACAACGAAGAAGATTTTCTTTTCAACGATTCATTTTCATGAGATATACAATCGTAATTGTATTTAACAAAGAAATCTTTAGAGCAATCAGATACTGGTAGACTTTATCCTCGGAAAATGTATTACGTAATGTAAGGTGTAACCTGGCCACGGTCCGGTTTCAGTTCTCGAATAGCTAATGCTTCAGCTGTGTACAGATGGCGTATATGCGAAGTCCCTTTGTACGATATTGAGGGACTCTGTGTAGCACTATGAAGCATTCATGCAAGTGGGGGTGCTCAATGTCCGGAGATGACAAGGTGTTCGAGGATATAGCTGCTGCTTTTCTTCTTTTCTCCTCTGACTAACCAAGCTGGAGAGGGTCCAAGAATACGTATGTTGACCTGACGTTGCGTACGGTTGACATACTTTGCTCCAGACGAGCAAGTAAGCTGACATTCAACCAAATGTTGTGTATTTCTTGAAGGAGACACAGAAGAGATATTATGGCGATGGATTGGTTTGCACTTCATGTCAGATAGAAATATGTTACACGACCTATTGTCAATCAAAACTTTATTTGAAGATCCTGGACGAAGAGAAAATATCATGCGATAAAATGAGCTGAAAATTATGTTAAAAACTATTGAGAATAAAGCCGTTATTAGTATTATTAAAAAAATAACTGGAAATTAATGGTGAATACAAATATTTAATATTCGAATATTGGTTTTTAAGGATTTTGACTGATTGGTTACAAGATTTCATCACGTGCTGACATCGATTAGAGAACCATTGAAAAACCTGAGAGTACTGGACAACTGTTTTGTACTAGTTTAGGACTCTTCCAATGGTTCTCTAATCGATGTCAGTTCATGATGAAATCCTGTAACCAATCAGTCAAAATCCCTACAAACCCATATTTGACCATCAATGAGATACTGACTAGCGACTGGCCCTATTCAGGTAAGTAGCTATCTCCGGTTCTAGTGGGACATCATGACCAATAGGGTGCAGCAGACCGGTTGTGAGGACAAATACTCACCGAAGACACTAGCTAGAGGTCGCAGTATGTCTTGAATTGGAGGAAGTTGGAATCCATGGCCCGTTGGATTGGGTTCCAGTGGGTTAATGGTGCAGGAGTTCACCAGCCCTGTGGGTACTGATGAAGTCTCAGACTAGGACGAAACAGCTGGTTGTTCAGTACATCTAGATTTCCCGATGGTTATATAATCGACGTCAGCTCATGATGAAATCCTATAACCAAATATCCAATAATAGACCTCAACATAAAGTACAAAAAGCAGCTTAAGATTCGATTACCATTCAACGATAATGCTAAGGGAATGCTAAACAAAAATTTAGAAGTCATACAACTGTAAAAATAATACATACTAATGTTGTACAGAATGCATCTAAGCACAACTGGATAATAGCATATGTTGCTATGCACTTTCTCATGTTTGCGGTGTACTTAACGTGACCGCCAGTCAACAAACAGAGAAATCAAAATTATTTAGACGAGTGCTACAAATAGCAATATATTCTGAAGATAAATAAATAAAGTTCAGGCTGTTCTAGAGAAGCGTTTACCAACTTATCTGGTTAATAATGGCTGGGCTAGGACACAAGGATTTACTCAAGGCAGCAAGGATTTCACCCGAAGGACATACTGAAAATCGGATAGGCTTCATCCAAATACTGTTGCAAGAAGTGGAGACGCAGCATGTTGGATACAAAGTGGAGAAGATGATCAGCTGTGGTCTCAGACCATCATCCAGATCAAGGAACCTTCAAGGTGAAGCTGAGATCCCTAAAAACAAGTGAAGACAGATCAAAATTCAAGTTCAGCATTCAGAAAATATAAAGGATATCGGTGCAACCATTGTGGCGAGAGCTGTCTGCTAGCCGAAATTGGTAGACAGCAATTCACGTCAATGTTTACGTTCCAAATCTTGATCACGGGAAAAACAAGAACGAAGACTAACCTTGAGATACCCAACAACCAATCACAGTAGAGTTTACGTGGATGGACATGATTCGCAGATATATGGTCTGACCTTTAAAGAATTGGCGACAAACAGATGGAAGAATAACTTCCAGTCAGCGCTCGTGAACGCTATCCAGCCTGACTAGTAAAGGGAGAATGAAAACGGGTATATAGTTCAGTGACAGAACATCTGGTCAATTCAGGACATTCAGCGCCATTCGAGAAATCCTTCAAAGTCATATACAAGTTCAATTAAGACATCTGGGCATAGCCGAGACACAAGCCATCCAAAAGCTCAAACCCACGCTATGTATCCGAAAGAAATATGTTCAACCATTGTCCCTGCCATGGTCATCATAAACAGGTTGTTGTTTTAATAGTGACTATCCCATTAACTTTCTTATCCAAACTTCCTGTTTATTCATGTTATTTTAAGTTTTTAAGAAAAACTTAATCCCTAATTATACTACCATATTTTCATATCTGAACTTCCTGTCTATTTTGTCACTTTATTATTTCTACATTTCTAACCCCTAATTGCACAATCGATGTCAATCTTCTCAGTAATTATGATGCTACTTTGTCTGAGCTTTATCCGTCCCCTGTTTATTATGACATTGTAATTCCTAATTGTAATTCTATTAATCTGACCCTTGGCCAGAAATTATTCAGGAACTTTCCTATCAATTTACTATAAATACACGAATGTACAGCCTAGTTGATGATTTCGTCGAAAAGAAAATTTTCTTCGATGTAACTGTCTTTTTATTTCAGGTTCATTGACTGTGAAGTGCCAACCGACATAATCGACAAAAACTGCCTCCACTCTTTAAAATGCGGCGCTCCAAGTCTTTATCAAATTCATTCAACAAATATGTAATGATGCCACATGCTAAACGATTCTCAATAGAAAGCTCAGGGAATCCTTTGAAGTGCAGACCAGGAGTGAGAAAAGGCTATCTACTATCATCGATAATAATCTAGACTGTCGTGTTCTGAATTATGCGTCAGGCTGAGCATTTGGAGTGAGAAGACAGAAATACGTTAGGCCGACAAGAAGACTTGAAATTTAAGAATGGTTTTGTGGTGAGAGCTGGCTGTTAGTCAAAATTGGTGGACAGTAATTTACGTCAATGTTCATGTCCCCAATATTGGTGAGATGATGGGAAAGATGAGAACAAAGGCTTTGCGTAGGCGGATACAGTTAACATACAGATGATCTGACGTTCAAGAAACAGCCACAAAGGGATGAAAGATTAACTTTCTGTGAGAAAGAACCAATCAGAAGACTGTGTTTTTCTGCTAACAATATTGAGGTTAGGCATCGAGTGCTAGGTAAGGAGAGGAAATCAATAGATGAGGTTGTGAAGCTACATCCACTGAGATGCTTAGGACATGTGTTATGCATGCCTAGCCATCACCTTCCTCGACTGATTGGAGATGTTAACTGACATAGGGTCAGGTTGGAAAAGAGAAAGCTAGTGGTGGTCGAACCAAAACATGGCACCAGTCAATGAAATCCACAACAGTTAGTTTAAGTCAAACTCTCTCTCTCTCTGTCTTCAACCTGTTGTTTATTAACACTCTTCATATCTCCGGTACACGTGTTGAATCATTCCGATTTCATATGTGTGGTGTTGGCTCGATAATAAACAAAGCTTCAGGGATTTACTTCTCTCTATCTCCCCCTAACTGTATGACTTTAATACTCTCACTCTGTCTTAATCCGCTGGTATGTGATTACATGCAGGTGAATGCAGTGCAATTTCGATGGCTGAGCTTTTTTCTAGGTTATTTAACTTCTCAGGATCAATTATTATTCTATGTTCAGTTAAATTTTTATGTACCAATAATTTAGATGACCCTTCATGGCATCTCATCATATGATACATCATTCAACTTTAAGGAAAAAAATCACTTACCATTTTACCATAATGAATATTAATCCACTAATCAAAATTCTGCTTAAGTAATAAAAATTCAAAAATCTTTATACATGACATCTTTTGACTACTAACTCTGCTTTGATTATCATGAAGAGTAAAAAAAGTTATTCGGATCGATAGTCGGAATTTATCAAGATATAAAGATAAAATTCATTTAAAATTTAAACAGACAGACGAGATTGCATCATAACGTATTGTACAATAATATGCATTGCATACTGTCTGTCTGGATTCAACATAGAACTTCCCACGCAAGTGCAGAACTTCGAGTTTCCACGTTCCAAATACCACACAAAGGTAGACAATAACATGAGTGGAGAGAATCAATACAGTCTGACAAGTATAAGAGTGAAACAGAATGGGTAATGGTAGAAAGGAATATGAAAGATTACAGAGACTGAATACATCTTCGCTGGCCATTGACAACGATTTTGAGCCATGTCACCTATTGTCTCCAGCCATTGATTCCTAGAGTCCCGAGGGCCCCAACCCGGAAGTCTGCATCTCCCTACCTGACTCAGTTTAACTGTCAAGGATTTCATGGATTGATGCCGTCATGTTTTTGTTTGGCCACCACTTACTCTTTTCCAACCTGCACCTTTATCAGCTAGTAATCCCCATCGGAGGAGGCGATGGTTAGGCATGCGCACCACGTGACCTAGCCATCTCTATTCTATGTAACTTTATAGCCTCGTCGATTGATTTTCCCTCTTTGCCCAACACTCTACGCCTAACGTCAACATTACTTACCTTATTAAACCACCTAACGTGAGACAGAGATCGCAGACATCTATGATCGAAAGCAGTCAACCTTTTCATGTCTTCAACGCGTATTGGCCATGTTTCAGAGCCATAGAGAAGGACGGGGCTAACTGCTGAGCAGTACACACGTCCCTTGGTTGATAACCGGATGTCACGCCTACGCCAGAGATGGTGTAAGTCAGCGAAAGCAGCTCGAGCTTTTCGGATCCGTGCTGAGATTTCATCGCCAATCAGTCCGTTGGTGCTAATACAACTTCCCAAATAGGTGAAGTGGTCAACATGTTCTATCACTTCACTCCCTATCACTAAGTTAGGAGTTGACGTGGTCCAGTCCTGTAGCAGCATCTTACATTTTGCAGGGGCGAATCGCATGCCAAACATACGAAGATTGCTGCTCAAGGTGTTCAGAAGACTCTGCATTTTGTCAGCATCCTCCCCTAACAGGACTATGTCATCTGCATATTCTAAGTCCATAAGACTATTCCCTGGTAACAAGTCGATTCCTAAGTCGTTACGTTCAGTTAAGGATACTTCCATCAGCATATCTATGATGAAGTTAAACAGAAATGGGGAAAGTGGACATCCCTGTCGGACACCACTGGTTGTTACCAATTCAGATGACAATTCCCCATAAGCCCTTACACGACTACGTGAGTTTGAATAGAGTGCCTTGATTAGTGCAATGTACTTTCTTGGCACTCCCTTCACAGTCAGACATTGCCATAGTACCTTTCGATCCACGGAGTCGAAGGCCGCCTTCAAGTCAAGAAATATGACAATTGTTGGACGCCGAAAAGTGTGTCTATGTTCTAGAATCTGTCGAAGAGTGAAGATATGATCTATGCACCCTCTACCTGGTCTAAAGCCTGCTTGATTTTCCCTTGTCTGTTCCTCCCGAGTTCTGCTTAGTCTATGCATGATTACTGAGCCTAGGATTTTAGAGACTATGTTCGTTAGGCTGATCCCCCTATGATTATCACACGAGGACTTGTTTCCCTTCTTGAATATCGGTATAATAAGTG